TAAGTGTCCACCTCTGGCTCAGGTCATGATCCCAGGGTCCTGGGATCGAGCCCCACATTGGGCTCTCCACTCAGCGGGGAGTCTGCTTCTCCCTTTGCCTCTCTCTCACCCAACTTGTGCTCTCTCTCATGCTCTTTCTCAAATAAAAAAAAAAAAATCTTAAAAAAAATATGAAAGGAACAAAGACATGACAAAAATGAAGAGATGAGAAAAGATGCAAGGGAGAATTTCAAATGAGGAGAAGAGGTATGGTAATACTAATTTCAAATAAGGCAGAACTCAAGGCCCAAAACCTTGTCTCAGGGGTTAGAGAAAAAATTGAAGTTAGGGCTACCAAGGTAGCCGGGATTTCAGGAATTAAGATTCTGGAGTGAAGGGAAGGAAGGTATTAGTAGGAGCCCCTTCTCCCATTTAGTCATTTACCAGGTTGTTAGAGGGATAGACTGAGAGGCTGAGTACCTAAAGAGTCAGTAGCAGTCTTGTAGTGCTGAGGGGGTGGGAGTTCGGAGTTCTTCAAAATGGAGAACACCTCAGGCTTTCATTTGAAAAAATGAAGGAATAAAACCTAGGTGTAAGGGTAAACTAAAAAACAGTGCTTATGAAAAGCCAGCCTAAAATAAGCTCAATCCCTGACTGGATTAAGGGAATTTAATTGCACTTGGCTGCTAAAGCTAAGGAACACCTCTCTGAACAAGAATATTAACAGTTTCTTTTTTCTTATGGTGTCTAGTATTCAATAAAAAAAAAAAATTACCAGGTGTACTAACAGTCCAAGGGGAAAAGACCCCAGAAAATAGAATATCTCAGGTAATCAGCTGTCGAGATATCTGTGATTAACCTTTAAGAAAACAGATGAAAATATGGAGAATTATTTCAAAACTAAATACAATAAAATGGGAATTTTAAAACTAGAAATACAGTGACCTATTAAGGCTACAACACATCTGTTGAGCAGCAAATTTGAAGTAGCTGGTGAGAGGATTAATAATCCAGAAGATAAAGGAGTAAAACTACCTGGACTAAAGACTTAAAGGTGAAAAATGTAGAAAAGTTATTTGAGTCATAACCATGGATAACATTTCTACCATCTGTGAAACTGGAGTCCAAGAAATGTTTTGGGGAGAAAGAATGTGGCAGGAGCAACACTTGAAAAGATAATGGCCAAAAATGTTGCTAAATGAACAAAAGACATTGAGTAAAAAAATGAAAGAATGAATATAAACACCATGCAGGACAAACCCAAAGCTAACAGACATCTAGGCACATTCATGGTAAAATTGCTAAGATACAAAGAAAAATCCTAAAGCAGTAAAGGGTGGCAAGAGATGGTGGTTTCTAAGGGACACTGCTAAGTCTGACAGCTGAGTTCTCATTATCAAACAAAATTCTATAAGCTAGAACTTTGGAATGCCTCTTCTAAATGGCCAGAAAACCTGAAACCTTGAGTTGTATATTGAGCAAAAAAATATGCTTAAAATGAAGGCAAAATAAAGAGGGTTAGAAGAACAAGCTGAAAGAAAACGACATGGTTACTCTAAAATTCAGAAGTAAGGACTATGAATCATGGAAATGACAGGCAGAATCATGGAAATGACAAAAGCAATGGAAGGCAACAGAAAGGATCAATATGTGGGAAATAGTGAGTAGAACACTTATGTCCTATGGGTTTTAAAAGGATACTTAGACAATAGGAAAAAACATGAAAGATAGGGATAAATGGAGTTAAAATATTCCAAGGTTTTTCCATTATCTAAGAAATGATAAAATTTGTTAGACTGTATTAGGTTAAAAAAAAAATCACAAGGATTTAAGAGCATGGATAACAAGCTTATAAAGGGGAACAATGAATTCTTGATCAGGCCATAAGGCAAGGATAGAAACTAGAATATAGAACAAATGGGACAAAAGAAATAAGTAACAGGGTAATTTTAAACCCAAATACTATGGCCTCCATTAAATATAAATGGAGTAAATATTCCAATTAAAAGATTGGATTAAAAAAAACTTTGTGCTGCTTATAAGCAATATACTTTAAATATTAAATCAGAAGTGACAGTAGTAAGACAGAATAAGAAATATTCAGCAAATGACCAAAAGAGAACTGGCATAGCTATACTAATATCAGATGAAGTAGATGTAAAGGCAAGAAGAATTGCATTTAGTAACGAAGAATCAATATAAAAGATGATTTCAACTTTCTATGTAGCTAATAACCCAAGACAAGGTAGAAATTGTAAGAAACCACTGAAAAAAGTTTAGAGTTGTAATTAAAGAGAACATTTAAAAAGATACCAGGATGAGAGAACTTTAGAACTAAGTTCTATATAATCTCTAAAGAACATTCCTATTTAAGAACATTCCTATTTAAATATTTGAAGACCACAGAGAAAAAAATATTAATGCTCCAAATTTATTTAATATAGCTAAAAAGGAAGGAAAAAAAAAAAACCTTGTAAGAATGATAAACCAACAACGTCCTCCAAAACCAATTTCGTTTATGAATGTATTTCAGGAGTGCAAGGGCAGTTCAAATTCAATCTATCAAGAAAACAATATCAATTTGTCTGAGGGTTCTAGAGGGGAGGGGGGTGGGAGGATGGGTTAGCCTGGTGATGGGTATTGAGGGCACATTCTGCATGGAGCACTGGGTGTTATGAACAAACAATGAATCATGGAACACTACATCTAAAACTAATGATGTATGGGGATTAACATAATAAAATGATGACAAACTGATAGTTTTTTTATTAATTTATTGATATATCAATAGATGCTTTTCAGGCTGTATTCATTGATAGAAGAACCTGTTAGATTGTATACGCAAAATTCCATCTGGACTAAGTAAATGTAAAACAGAAGTGGAAACTAGGAGAAAATTCAGAATGTTTGTGATAAGCACCTTCAGGCTCTTGGTTAGAACTTTTTTTTTTTTTTTTTTAAAGCCTTTCCCAGTTGCCATCTCCTGAGCCTTATATCTCAGACTTGTGGTATAGAGCCTAGGTATGTAACCTTAGCTCTTTTGTTTCCTTATTTGCCTTCCTCCACCACATTGTTGGAGGCCTCCAGATACAGATCTTACTCATCTTAGATATATTTAGTACTAAGCACATAGTAGCTATGTTGTAAGTATGGCCAAATTGATAGCTCTTCCTAGCACCCCCACAACCATTCCATCCTGCCTGTCTCCTGGACTGATAGCTGAATGGAGTGATGTCATTCTGTGCACCTTATCTACAGTTTATTTTCTGTAAGATGCTTTAAACATTGTGGGTTGGTTGTCTTTGCTCTGAAACAGCCCAGAAATAGCCTAGTGCTATTGAGCTTTACTAGGATGGGGCAAGGGGTGTCAGTATGGCAGAAGGTAAAAGATGGGTGATGCTCCCAGCATCTGTCTCACCAATGGGACCGCGTACAAAGGTAAAACTAGAATAAACCTGACTATAGCATGATTTGCTTTGTTTGCATTATTGGCCACCTTTGCTAATCACATGTGTTTCAGTGGTCCTCAACCCTGGTTGCACCTTAGTCACCCTACCATGGACCAATTAAATCACAATGCTCCACAGCGGTTCTTAGGTGCAGCTGGGATGGAGAGCCACTAGTCCTTCATTCTCTTGCTCCTAATAAGAGTCTAAGATTACATGGGCCCAGAAACCACAAGCTGCATTTTTTTTTGGGGGGGGGGGAGCAAAAATGGTTTCCTAAAGAAAGTGGTCATGCAGCAGTAAGTGCATGGCTTGGTGCCAGAAGTTTGGAGTCCTAGCCCAGTCACTAGTTGATCCAGCAAGCCCCAAAACCTCTCTATGCTCTGGTTCCCTAACTGATCAAATAAGCATAATCTCTTCTATCCACCTCAACCTGTACTAGGAAGTTTAAAATGGAAACCAGGTAAGACCCTTCAAAACTTTGAAAATCCCACAAATGTAATTTGTTAACATTTCCATCATAAAATTGGCACTGTCCTATTTCCTAGCTGTGGGGTCTTTTCGGGTCATTTCACTTGAACCCCCGTTTGTTCATCTGTAAAATGGAGTTGCCTACTCTACAGAGGACATCTTTAGCAGCAAGGCAAGGAATAGGAACTGAAAAACACAAAATATCCTATTGCTTTTGCTACTAACTTGGATTTTTATTACAAAGACTCAAGTTTTTGGTATCAAGCCTACCATCAAATCCCACAGTGTCTCTCATGTTAGCAGATGCTGGAACCTATGTGGCCATAAGCAGGTGCAGTGTTCTTGCCTGAAAAGCTTTGTAACCTTAAATCCCAGGGAATTTTTGGTTACAAACCAAGCCTGCTGAGGTGACAGGTGCCATTGACTTAACTACCTGGGAGCTGCCCCTTTGGCTCCCATTACCTGGGCTTTCCTGCCTGTTGAGTGTGCGTGACAGGAGATGGATACTGGTGAGAGGTGAATGTGTAATCAAAGCAAGTGAAGTGGGTTGAAATCTTGTGTGCGGTGACCTAACAAGAGGAGTTACTGAGGCACTGGGCAGGCGGAAATGCCTTGCCCCTGAGCTAGTCCTGCCACCTTCCTCTGTCCTCACCTTCTGCCTCTGAGTTACAGCACCTGGTACCTTTCTCCAACCTCCGGAAGCTGTGTATTCTCCAGCATGGGGATCTGCCATCTTAAACTGGCAACAAGTCCAGTGATGATAAATAGGGTTTCTGGGGAAGCTCAAGATTTAGAGTAGTGAATTTGAAAGTGTGAGATGCAGAAAAAGCATTTGGAAGGGGCTATGGCACAGTTATTTCTAATTTTGGCTCTGTAGGTACATATGTTCTTAACTGTGCAAACTTACATTGTCAGCCAGTGACATTAATACTTTTTCTTCCTAAAGCAAATCTGATAATTACTACATTACAACCTAGAGAGGACAATAACAAAACCCCCATAGAGTCAGGGTGTCAGGTTTCCGTGCAACAAAACAGAACAAGTCTCTTTGGAAGTCATCAGCAGTTATTTCAAATAAGCCCCTGAAACCCTATACCCACTTACCCACTGATATGGTCCAAACAGCAATTATTTTCAGAAAGGCCTTTGTTCTGGAGTTGAATCGGCTATGATGGATGGGGTTCTGGATGGCAACGTAGCGGTCTAGTGAGATGGCACAGAGGTGCATGATGGAAGCCGTGGAGAAGAGCACGTCCAGGTAAATCCAGACCGCACAGAGCTTGCTAGGCAGAGGCCACCGGTAACCTGGGATGCAGAAAGTTAGAGTTAATAAGGGCTATCAGGCCTCCCATGGTGTGTGGAACTGACCCTGCCAGAAGTGTTTCCATTCGGGGGGTGGGGGGAGCGGTACGGGAAGTTGCAAAGGGCAACATCAGATATTTTCCAAGATTTTAAAAAGCCTAAGAACAACTGTACTGAACAATGATAAGATCCTACTAGCTGATGAACACAGGGTTTAGAAATTTCTTGTGGTTGGAATCCTATGCCAGTGTGTTGTAGTAAGCTTGGGTTGTCTTCAGGGTTTCTCTTGCTGTGTGTCCCCTAACGACATCTACCTTTTTTCTTTGTTTTTAATGAGTTAGAAGCCTCGATGTCGTTGGAGCTCCTCTATTAAAGTGCCTCTTATAGGACACTGCCTTTACTTGTTCACATCTTTGACATCCTTTGGGTTCCCTGAGGTTTAGCCCACCTCTTAATCACTATAACTGCTCAGTCTAGCACAGTGATGTCATTTAGTGGTCTCTCAATAAATGCTGTTGGTGTGAATGAATAAATGATTAACAAGTCCAGATGGAGAATATTTTTTGGAAAAATGAAAGATAATTGCTTTAGGGGTTCAACTCAAATTTGGGGTGTGTGTGTGTTGGGGGGGGAAATACGCAGAAAAGCATGGCATTCTTGTCCTGATGAGTGTTTCAGGGCAGTGGTTCTCAAACTTTAGCGAGCCCCAGAGTCTCCGAGGTAGGGTCTTAAAATGGTACTGCTGGACCCCACCTGGAGGTGCTGATTTTGTGACTGCAACAGGGCAGGAGAATTGCCATTTCTAACAAGTTTCCAGGTGGTGCTGCTGGTCCAGGGATAACACTTTGGCAACAGCTGCTTACAGCAGTGGTTGTCAGCCCTGGCTGCACTTGAGACTCAGCCGGAGAGCTTTTTCTCTAGGTCTTGGTGCTCAGCGAGGGTAGGAGGAGGTGGGCCCCAAATAAAGTGTTCCAGAGCTCTCCTGATGATCCCCAAATGAAGAGCACTGCAGGAGGCCCTTAATGCATATTCTAAGTTCCTGTTTTTGTTTTAAAAGGGATCAAATGGTTATATAAACCCAAATTAGCTTTGGTAACTGTATAAGCGATATTACATCTGAGTACGAGGGAAAAGGCAATCATAAAGATCTCCTTTTCTTTACAATAGTCCAGACCGACAAAGCCGAACAAGTTCCACATTTGCAAGTATACTCTACCAAAATGCCACCACCTATAATGAGGAAAGTAAAGGGTGCAGGATACAAGCCTAACTTCAAGTCACACTCTGCCTGGTCGAAACTGATGTTGGCCCTTGGAGTTTCCTCTGCAAAGAGGCAGCCGAGGTCGGGCCACAGTCTGGTTTCCGAAGCCGGGATAGGGAGGGGGCATTTCCTTACTCTGCGGAGTGAGAGAGGACCGGTCCAGGGAGAGTTGCAACTCTGGCTGGAACTGGCTGCGTGCGGAGCGGCCGCCGCCAGGGGGCGCCGTTGCACCCCGAGCGGGAGGTAGGGGCCAGGTCCTACCTTCTTAACCCAGCTCAAGGGTGCCTGCTCCCCACCTGCAACTGGGGTCACCCCCGCCTCTGGCAGTGGTTTTGGTTCCCTGTCAGGACCTCTGGGAGCCCTGCATCACTCCCGGAGTTTGCCTTTGAGGCAGGGGTCGGGTCTTAGGAAGCGAGAACCTCTGCAGCCTGTCTGGGAAATGACGAGCAAATTTGATGAAATCATCTTGGTGTGACATTTGAGTGGTCAAACGGAGGTTGGCCTTGCAAGGAGCAGTATCGACCCCGTGCAAACCAGCACCTGTTCTTCATTGCCCATCTCCTTCCTCCTCCATACCCCTCAGCGCTGGGGTAATATATGTATGTATATAATTTTAGCCCTTAAGACTTGGCCAGAAAATCCCTGTTTACAAAGATCATAATGTATTTCTAGCTCTGGATGATTGCTATGTGCTGTGTCAGCAGCCTAAATACTCTTTAAAAAAAAAAAAATCCAGCTGTATTACTCATAATTTGAAAAGAGCATCACATTCTGCTTCCTGCCGAAGCCCTCCCAGTGTTTGCTGACTTGCTAAGGGGTTTGACTCTCTCAAACTGTTGAAGAAATCGAGATTAATGTCTTCCATTTGTTTTCTACCCTTCTCCAAACAAGACTGGAGGAGTTGATGTGTATGTATTTTTAAAGAGTTGAGGGTATAATTCAAAGGCACACTTCCAAATTAGCTTCTCTGGGGTAGGGAACAATTGAAACTGCAGTAATTCATTTATTTGAAGGCAGAATCTGCATATTTTAACATTAAACCCACTGTACCACTAATGTTCTCCCTGCACATGTTCCAAGGTAATTGGGAAGGTTTTACTACTCCATTAGAGGTGCTGAAAACTGTGTGACAAAGATAAAACTGTGTTGTGTCCTGAAGGCTGGAATATTTGGGAATATATAGAAGCGAAAATCAAGTGGATTCAGAATGACAGCTAAATTACTGCTTTATGACTGTATTGGGGGGCATTTAAAGGGACTACATAAAATGTACATGTTTCAAAGCACAAAACTCTCCAAGGATAATAGGTTGTCTGATCTCTTAATATGTGAAAGCTCACTTTAAGATTTAACTAGTGTACCATGGTAGACCCTTGTCTATAAATAAACCCTTGTGTTTAGTTTGTCCCTTGAGCCCCAGCTCATCTGCTCATAACATGCACATGCTGTCTATTCCGTGTGGGTGCAGCTGGGAGGCTAATGCCACTCACCATACAGGATGGTTAGCATGGACACGGGCATGACAAGGAAACCCAGCAGCATATCGGCTATGGCAAGTGACATCAGGAAATAGTTGGTGGCGTTCTGCAGCTTTTTCTCTAGGGACACTGCCATGATGACGAGTATGTTTCCAGCAATGGTTAGAATAATCACTACAGCTGTCAACAAAGCAGACCAGTTTTTTTCCTGGAGATGAAGTAAGGAGAAGCATGATGGTGAGAGACAGCCCTCACAGGAAAGGTTGGTTCGATTTTCCGAGTCCACTGTCCAGTTAAATGCGTCTGAAGTGTTAACTTCTCCGGAGTTAAAGTCATTGATGTAGAGCCTTGGGTCCTCATTTAATTGCATTAAGGAGTTTGTAGTTGAGCTCAAAGAAGCATTTTCCTCAAAAAGAATATCCATTTCTAAGCCGGAATTTGTAGCAGATGAAGTAAAGAAAAACTAACAAGTTATAGCCTCAGCTCGCCATCCATCTTTCTGTCCCCACGCTTGGTCACACTGAAGCCGGTATACATGCTGAGCTCCTTTGGTCGCCTTTTTTCTCTCATTATTACAATGGGAGCTGAACTGCAGTGGCTCTTTGTATCTCCTTCCTTCATGGTGTTAGTGGAGTCTTGCTTAGTTTCTTTCTTTTTTCTTCAAAGCAAGATCAGAAAAAGCAGAATGAACTTTTTAACCTAGCAGTTGCAGAGTTTTGAGCATTCAGGGAGGAAAAATGTGATCCTGGCCAGAAAAGAAAAGTTTTGTAATTACCAGGAATCTCATTAGGCTCTATCTCATTCTGTTGGTTATGTCGATCACAGTAGTTTAGCCACAGCGGTATTAAAGCAGCATGCAATCCAAAAACAGTGGGGTGGTATGCATTCTACATGAAGAAAGTCAATTAAAAATACATCCAGTGTTAATCCCATAGTAATTGGATGTACTTGGGGTTAGAGTTCTCAGTCTCTAGGCTGAATTGCCATAGTTGCTGTCGGGAATTTCCATTTGCATTATGCTTAGTTAATAGAAGAAGAAAAGTCTTAAGCAAAGATTAGCCAACAACTTTCCACACTAGAAATTCTCACTGAAATGATAACGTTTTGGCCAAGCGTGATTTCAAGCCAGAAAGAAAATTAACACAGAAATAAAATACAGCAGCGTGAGAACTTACATTTGTCTTCAGGGTCCACACATGAGACATACTTTGCTGTTCTGTGACTTGCTGCATCTCCCATGGTAATTAAGCCAGGGTAGAGTCCCTTCTTCTTGAGTGTCCACAGGCATAATAGAGTAATTTGATTTCTGTTTTGCTGACTTCAAAAACTGCATGCAAGAGTAGAGCCACTTCCAGCCCTGCGCGGTCTGTGTTTGCTGGCTCTGCCCCCACTCGGCTGGGTTACTCCCTCCCTGTGCGGCTTGCCTGAGCGAGGCACACGTTCAGAAATCATTCATGAGCCCCTCTCCAAGTCACACAAAAGAAATCCCTCAGGAAAGTAGGGAGAGCTAGCTGCCTGTGCTAAAGGACTCGTGGTTTCCACGGGAATGGACCGGCTCTCGGGCTGCCTCCTTCACTTCCCCAGACCTCCCTCTATCTGTATGTCAGAAACTGCAAGGTAGTAACAGCCAGGGAGGGCGGACCAAACACGCTGGATTGTTTTTTCCCCTTGTTTCTCTCTCTCTCTCCTTTTTTCCCCTCACACGTCACCATTGGGAAGTTTTGTTACGTTAGAAATCCCCTTTTATGCAGATGGCTAAGGCAGGTAAGCTGTGCTGTGAGGTTCTTAGTGTGAAGAGAGCACATAAATAAGGCTAGGAAATGGCATATCCCGGGAGCGCTGGAAGCATGCAGAACTTCCACCCAGAGCCCATAGTGCTTATGCCTGAAGTGCAGTTACCGACGCCAGCGACTTGGGCTCAGAGTGGCCAAGCACCTCCTGGGTGGTACTCGAGCTATTAGTAGTAGTTTTACTTATTAAAAGCATGCACCATTCAACTAACTTATTTTCTCCAGAAATAAACTTACCTGGAAGTAATTCAAAACCTCACATGTGGAAGAGAAGTTTTTCAGAGAGCATTTTAAAGACCACCTGCCTTCTTTGTTTAAAAAAACAAAACAAAAAAACCCTTCTCAGGTTTCTAAAGACTGCAGCTATGTGGCAGATACGTAAGTTGTATATATGTATACACACTAGATCTCCTTATTTTTAGATGAAAAAAGGATTCTTCCCTGAAGAGTGGGGGGTTTCCTTTATCTTCACATTCTCCCTAGACAAGTTCTGTTACTTGTGTGCTTTCAACATGTCTTTGGACAAATTGGTACCTTCTTAGCAGGTGATTTTTCTCAGCTCTTGACCTAAAAATTCAGTTGCCTACTGAGACCTTCATCTGTGCTCTAGAAGACCTTGACCTCTGCATCTTTCTCCCATCCCCCTGCCTGCTTCTTGGTGCTTATTCCACCCATTCTCTCAGTCAATGGAATCAGCATCTCTTCAGACAACTGGCTGTTAGCCAAGACTCTGCCTTCGTTCTTGCTGCCAGATTTTAGTCTCCAGTGCCACTTGCGTGTACACAGATTTCCTATCCTCCAGCCCACATCTTACCTGTCATCTGGGCTAGAGCATCTCCCTTGTGGGAATTTGCCCTTTGTGCCATCTCTTGGAGGAGAGTATGATTGCTGTGCATCTTGAGCAGGCAGCTGAAAGCCCAGGCTCTGGATTACAGCTCCTTAGTTTTGAATCCCAGCTCTCTAAGTCCAACAGTAGAACCCTGGACAATCGAGCTGTCTTCCTTAAGACTCTGTATTCTCTCTTGTAAGTGGAATAATAGTAGTACCTCCCTCAAGGTGGTAGTGAAACTAAAATGGGGTCATGCATATAAATACTTAAACCCACATGTTTATAGGATGCTCTTTATGTTAGCCATTTTTATTAATCCTGTTTGATGTTGGGCGCCTTGGTGGCTCAGTCATTAAGCATCTGCCTTCGGCTCAGGTCATGATCCCAGGGTCCTGGGGTCGAGTCCCACATCGGACTCCCTCCTCGGCGGGAAGTCTGCTCTCCCTCTCCCACTCCCGCTGCTTGTGTTCCTGCTCTCTCTGTCTCTGTCTCTGTCAAATAAATAAAATCTTTAAAAAAAAAATCCTGTTATTAAAACAAAATTGACATCACTGTAATCAATTTGTGCTTCCATTCCTTTAGCCCCTCCCTTGAATGGGACACAACTCCCATCTTTGTCCCTCACTTTGTCTATCTGCTCCCACTTCCCAGCCTAGACTCCTGTTTTCTTCTATAAGCAGGCTACATGCAGACGAACTTGCAGGTTGATAATTTTAAAGCATTTGTACTTGTAGTTCCCTCTGTCTGGAATGCTCTCACCACCCCCTCTTAGTATCCATCTGGCAAATTTCTACTCAGTTGTCAAGGCTCAGTTCTAAAGGTAAGTCCTCTGAATCCCACTCCCACCACTCACCACCTGGGTGACCTTGACTAAACTGCTTCATCTCTGTGCCTTAATTTCCTTATCTGTAAATAAAGGTAATACCTACATGAGAGGATTGATTGAGAGTCGAAATGTACCAGGCATGTGTAAATGTGAGTGCTCTGTAAAGGCTAATCCTTGGTTTACAGATATCCACTTTCCATGGCTCTCCTCCCACAGTGTAGGCAAAGACCATGGTACCTTCAGAACCTTTCTATTCTATCAGGTCTCACCTTGCATGTAGGCAAAGACATTTGTCTTGTTAATGGTAATACACATAGTGCTTAGTTCTGTTTGTTGAAAGAAATGTGTGACTGATAACTTACATGTCTGTCTGTATTAGACGGTGGACTTCTTAGTCCTCTCTCTACCTACAAGACCAAGCATGGTATCTCCTAATGGCAGGTTCTCAGTAAATGCATTTTGAAAGAATAAATGAGTTGACAGCCTATATTAAAAAGCATAGTCAGGGAGAAACAACCCTACTTCCTTTATTTGTGCAATGGGATACCAAATTTTATTAAAGAGGGCAAAGAGAAATGTTAAAAATTCTGTTAGAAAATTAAGGCTTTTTGATAAATTTTTATGGCTTGCTGTGTTTTTCTTGGAGAAATCTGATGTTCTCAGGCTTGAGGTCTTCATGGACAGCCAGGTTTCCAATCATGACAAAGCTAGTCAATGAATTCCTTGCTGTATGGTTTATATTGTGAAATAATTTTGTTAGTAGCCATTGGAGATTATTTGTAGTTTTATGAATACTTGTTCAGGACAAAGGAATATGTTAAAAAATCAGACCTCTGGCTACTAATAGTTAAATGGAGCTTGTCTATTAATAGCATGGGAGTTAGATTTGGTAGGAATGGTTTCTTGGAGGTCAGACACTCGAGTTTCGAAAAGGGATGTACATTTCCTGCTGTAGTGAACACTGGTGTGCAGCTCAGCTCCCCCTTCTGGACAGACACTCATTTTCCCTGCAGCTGGAAGTGTTGATGACTGATGGCTCTCAGCCGATTCTCGCTGTGAAAATTACCCTCAGCCGAAGAGGCCACCTTCCCCATAGTCAAGCATCTCCTCTAGAGCAGCCAGAATAGAACTGGTCTGTTGTGAGGATACAAAAGTCTGGCTTCCTTGCCTCAAGCCTGGACACTGCTGAAGGATCTCCTGGTACCAGAGTTTCCATGGGATCTGTCCAGGCCTTTGTTGAGACTGCATCACAGTTAATCTCCTCCCCCTCCCTAGTCCTGCCTTTCTCACTCCCCTGCAGGTATTGGTCTGGAGTTCTCAGCAATCAATCTCCCACACACAAGTCTATCTCAGAGTCGGCTTCCTGGGGAACCTAAGGCCTATATTTTTAAACCTGTGTTTTAACGCTTCAGTGCCACTCTGGATGAGTTGATTGTTTCATAGAAACAAAATTATTGTATGTTGATGAATATATTCTTCTCAGAAACTAGAAGTTCTTCAAAAGACAACTGGTTTTACTATCTACTTCCGTAGGGAATTTAAGGGCAACAACCCCAAAGTGAAAGTTATTTGTGGCACAGTTTCTTGAGTACCCCATTGGACTTTCTTTAGGGATATGTTTTGCAAACAGTTTAAGAGAATTGCTTAAATCAGGTGTTGATTTTTTTTTTTTAATGTCTATGGCGATATTTGTAGCCCTTAATTTTTTTTTCCAGTTAAAAGTTAGTGGCTTCTGAAACATTAGCACCTTACAGATGTTAGTATATGTGTGAAGGAAATTCCTTGAGCGAGTAAGCCTGGAACATAATGCATCCTATAGCCTCCTCTTAGAGATCTACGGTGTATATTAACATACTAAATGTGGTGAGAGAGAGTGCAGTGAAGAAATTTGTTGACCTTAACTTGCTCACTCCCCATCTATGCCCTAGAACACTGATTTCAGGACCCTTTTATTAATGTAATGATGTAAAACGTAACCCAACTTAAAGTGTGAAGATATCAAGTATATAGTTCAAGTTTTGACAACTATACACCTGTATAACCATCCCCCAAATCAAGATAACCACCCACACTTGTGGAAGTTCTCTCATGTTCGTCTAACCTTGATTTAAATGGAAGCATGTAGTATATACTCATTTTGGTTCTGGCTTCTTTTGCTCAATAATGTTTGTGAGATTTACCCATGTTGCTGTGAATAAACTTTCTATGGATTGTAGTCTGAAAAACTGTTATGTGGCCTGGATATTTGGGAAATAATTTATTTTCTCTTGTTCAAAGAAACATGGACTAGATCCTTGGTCTGTTCTTTTTAGGTTTCTTTTCAAGACCATGCCAACCTTTACCTCTGCTCAGTGGCCTATATCTGATTTTATTTTGAAATGGCTGCATGGAATTCTTAAACTCCATGTTCTTTTTTAAGAATATGTCCCTGAGATTTATGCTGTCCAAATCTTAATAGTCTGAGAATGAGAACAAATTTTCATAGAAGATTTCCCAAATGATAAATAATCCATTCCTTCCTTTGGATGTTCCAGTTCTCAGGTTTGGAACAAACCAGATTGCTTGATCACTGCATGCCTGGAAAACAAGGCTTTAAACTGCCTTCTCTTACACCATTGACTTGTGTCAAAAGAAGCAACTACTTGGAATTAGCTACTGACTCTTTTAAATCTTCTCATGGGGTATTCAGTTTAACAATACTCATAAAAATAACAGACAACCTTTGAGTGCTATACTCTTGCCTTAATTCATTCACTTAAGTAGTTGGTGGTAGCAAGTAGGAGTACAGGGGTGTAGGGAGGAGGTATAAACTTGGTGATCAATGGCATGTTGGTGGTATATAAAGTGTGAAACTGGGTGAGATCATCTAGGGGGAGTGAGTGGAAATAGAGAAAGGAAAAGAGGTTTGAGGAATGGGCCCTGGAGTACTCCAGTATTTTGAGGTTGGGGAAATCTAGAGGGAACTACCCAAGCAGAAGGAGAAGGAGCAGCCAGTGAGTAAGGAGGGACACAGAGTTGTATCCCAGAAGTCCAGTAGAGAAAGACAGTAGTGGGGGGAAGGTACTCAACTGTCAAACACTCCTGATGAGCTGAGTGTGAGAAATAAGAAAGGACCATCATGTTTGTCAAAATG